TAAGGAGCAAAGCTGGTACAGATGTATCCGCACCTGTATGGTCAAATGCAAAGTTTTTCAAGACTTAGAGGGGGTCACAAACTGCATGAAACGCACCCCACCTTGTCACACACCATTTGGTGTGACATCAAATCATATTTACTCACCTTATGTTGCAATGCTGAAGTAAGCTCGACAAACTACTTGCTCAGCAGACCAACGTTTTCATGACTACTCACTCCTTTCCTCACACCATCATCTTATTCCCTTTTTTATCAGGGGTCGGAATGATCCACCGTCATGAAGTTAAAATGAAAATTAAAACAATATGATAAGGAATAAATGTTTGTAACTAAGCGGCATACCATGTTTTTTGTACAGCTAATAACGAATGGAATAGAATGAGACTGGATGTCTCGACACAATTAGGTTGCAATGGTTGCTCCCACTCTTAAATGAAAAGTAAGGTCAGTAGAGCTGTTTTGTTCTTTTAGGAACTTGTGTGGCCATGCTTTATGAAGACGAGGGCAGCAGAAATATTCCTTTGAAAGAATTCCACACACATTTAGAACAGCATGAGGACAAGACTCATTCTTTTTATTTTTAAAGGATCTTTTTCTATCATGCAGATCTTTCAGGGAAAGCGCTTATTTCAGGCTTAAGCTATATTTGGGAAACATTATGGGTAAGATGCTCTAAAATCAGCCTCTTTTGCATTATGTGGTTTGTATTTGGTTGACTCGATGAACATGATTCAGCTCTAAACCAGTGATTTTCTGAGACATAATGATAAAAAGAAAGAATCCCGGTCTCCACTCGGCTGGCATACTGACGTTGTGCTGCTTGTCTGGGGCACTCAAGGCACGTGGGTCTGGCTGTGTTTATTTGATGTGCCTTTAGAGCCAACATCTGTGAATAATGTTACAAAAGCCGGCAGAAATTCCAGCTCTCTGTTGTGGTTTGCTTGGGCAGAATCGAGACCAAACTCTCTGCTGATGTTTCTGTGAACGATTTGCCCTTTCTGTCTCAGTCTGCACATCGCCATGGATGGTTGGCATCACATTCACTCTTATACAGAAATGAAATTAAAACAGGGAAATACTAAAGCTATAGAATCAAAACTCCTCCTTCCCTCTTCTGTTTACTTTCTCTTTCTTTTCAGACAGCAAGGCGAGTAGTACAGATGTTTGTTTTTGCATGGCAGATGGACATAGTTTTGCATAACTGTGTATAAATGAAACGCAATGAAGATCTTTTAATCTTCTCTTTATATCTTTCACACTTCATTAATTCTTTTACTCACATTAATTTCTGTCACATTTTTCTGCCATTACCCCCCACCCTCCTCGTCAACATCTTTTTGCTTAGCTTGCCCATTTCCTGTGAAAGTGTGCAGTTGTGGTATTGACAAATGTGTGTGTAAAGGGTATTGAGCTTTAATGTGCTGTATTGATTTTGTAGAGCGGTTGTCTGGTTTGTATTTCCATTGACTAAGTGAGTACTAAGTGGAAAAGGTCAAGAAATCAACAGGCTAAATGTGAGAGGTGTGTGTGTGGGCTGTAATGGCAAGGTGGTGTATTTGTCATGGTTTTAATTTTTTAAGTGGGTAGAAAATAAAGGTTACCTTGAGACTCTAGGGGCGATGCTGGTGGAGCAGTGTTGCTGGAATCTTTGCGGATGTGCAATGCTGGAGTGTTTCATTGGATTACCTTAGAAGTACTGTGTGGGTGTGAGCGGTGACTATACGTAATGGTTAATGTAGATATAAATATTAATTTCCTCTGATGTCTTTTTAGGAATATATACACGATGCGGACATTGTTTAATTTTATAAGTCAAGTCAAGTTGGCTTTATTGTCATTTCAACAATATATGATGTAGACAGTGAAACGAAACAATGTTCCTCCAGGACCAAGGTGCTACATCAAACAACACAAATTGACAATATAACACAGGACTGTGCACTACTTAAAAAATGTAGAAGAATGAAATGAAATAATTTTACAGTAAACATCTGTCATCTTCTCATCAGTGACATGCATCTAAACGATCTCGGGGTCAATGCGTGTAAAGATTTAGGGCATCTTTTTGGACACTTTTGATACTTCCAAACAGTTTGCTGCATTTATAAATCTCCCATGTCTTGAGTCTGTTCATTATGATGTGATTTACCTTCTATGTGTGATTTAATTAGACAGGAATTACAGGACTGATTTTTCTAATAGACAAGAAATAATAAAGTAGTGACTGCAGATTGAAGGAAAGTAGTGGAGTAAAAGTACAGATACAGCACTAAAAATGTACTCAAGTGAGAGTAAAAGTGAACATTTTTAAAAGTGCTTAGTAAATTACAATTCCTGTAATTTGAGTATTTGTAATTAGTTACTTTACACCTCTAGTGATAATGACCCAAAAATAAAAATAAGAATAAGAAATTAGTGCAAATAAGACAGGACAAGAAACAGTAACGCCCACCAGTAAACTACGGATGTTGTGCAAATATTGGATTAGATATAAGTACTGCACATGTAAACATTTGTCATTTGAGATGTAATGTAAAAATAGCAGTTGTGCAAATATTGTTCTTGTCAGTAAATTGTGTGTGTGTGTGTGTGTGTGTGTGTGTGTGTGTGTGTGTGTATCAGTCCAGTTTCTTCATGTTTAGAAGTTTGATAGCTTGTGAAAAGAAACTGTGAGAGCCTGAATGCTTCTGTATCTCTTTCCAGATTACAGCAGAGTGAAGAGAGTGTGTGAGGGGTATGTGTGGTCAGCCACAATGCTGATGGCTTTTTCGGATGCAATGTGTGCTGTAAATGTCCATCAGACAGGAAAGTGACTCCGACAATCTTCTTAGCCGTCCTCACTATCCGTTGTAGTGTCTTGCGATCTGATACGGTGCAGTTCCCAAACCAGGCAGTGATGCAGCTGCTCAGGATGCTCTTGATGGTTCCTCTGTAGAAGGTTGTAAGGATGTGTGGTTGAAGCTGTGCCTTTCTCAGAAAGTAGAGATGCTTTCTGGGCCTTTTTTGGCATGGAGCCATTGTTGAGGGACTAGGTGAGGTTCTCCACCAGGTGGGATTTGTTACTATACATCTATAAAGAGCATGGCTGAAACAAATGTACAAAAGCTGTCACTCTGGTCAGGGGCGAACTTTACCAAAAAGCGAGGTAAGCAGCCGCTTAGGGCCCTAAGGTATTAGGGGGGCCCCACCAATGCCAAGAAACCTATAGTAACCTATAGTGCGCTCTTTTATACATTTTCTATCATATTTTGTAAAATCTGTCTATAACTGTTAAGATTTTAATGTTATTGCTTCTTTTCAAAACTGGGGGCCCCCATGAATAATGTAACATCCCTCGTTAATGGTGTGAGCTCTTCAATCAATACACTTTCATTCAGTGTAACCAACTTAGCGACTTTTCAGACCCCCTAAATATTCAAAAAAGCGACCAGCGAATGTTTTAAGGTGTTACTGGAGATTTCTAGAGACTCAAACAGCAATTGATTCACAAACAGCAATTAGCCAATTCATATGAAAAATTGTGAAAAGATTAGTTTGATGGATTGAATCAAAATTGAATTAAATTTGTTTAAGTGTTGTTATTATTATTATTACTATTAAAATCTAATCTCAAAAATGGCCAATTAACTGTACATTGGGGTACCCAAACTCTGTCCTGGAGGGCTGGGGTCCTGCAAAGTTTAGTTCCAACTCCTATCAGACACATCTGTGCTAGCTAATCAAGCTTTTAATAAGACTTTCTTGTAACATCTGTGCAGGTGTGTTGAGACTAAAAGTTGGAGCTAAAATCTGCAGGACACTGGCCCTCCAGGACTGAGTTTGGACACCCCTGCTGAACATAGTTTGTGAACTTGTTTTTTTATTTGTGAATTTGTTACTTTTAGTTTTAAATTTGCAAGAACAAGTTTTCTTTAAATATAAAATAAATAAATAAATAAATAAAAAACCTTTAAATATATAAAAAGAAAAACAAAAATGCTGGGGCCCCATACCTGGAATTGCTTAGGGCCCCCAAATCAAGTTTGCGCCGTCTCTGGTGATACCTTTTAAAATAGTACTTTTGCATTTTTTGCTTATTACTTATTTTTTTACATAAATATGTAGGAATGCTATTTTGGATTCTTCACACTCTTCAAACTTACTTGGACCAAACAGTGCAAAAACGTCATCTAGATATCATGTAGGCTACTTTACAGTAAGTGGTCAAGTGCAAAGACTGCAAGTTTGGAAAGTCACCCTGTGACTTAATAAAAAGATAACACTTGCTTATAGACCATTTCAATGTGGTAATATCATTGGCCCATGAACATTTCCTGCTTCTTACCGTACTATTTCATAACTGTAACAAAAGGAAATTTAATAATATCTACATGTTAAAACAGTTATCATAACATTATTTATCAATATGTGGACCTTTTTGGATTTTTGGAAGCTATCAATAGGCCTATTTAAAAATGTAAAACAGGAAATACATTAGGACCTTGTTTATTGTTTACATTCCTTTCCTTTCTTAAATAGAAATGTGTTTTGTAATAATCTAAGTTAGTTAAAATGTCATTATATTTATATTAACATCTTAGAGGCACTCACAATTTACAAGAATTTTTCATCACCGTTTAATGATCCTATCAACGAAATAACGCCTTACTGGTTTGACATTTGGCTGGCGGATGTTAATTTGAATATTTTTTTTTCTTTCTTGTACATAGTGGGTCATTAGTACCGCACATAGGGTATTAGGCTACGTTTGACTTGTGAGAGAGAGAGAGAGAGAGAGAGAGAGAGAGAGAGAGAGAGAGAGAGAGAGAGAGAGAGAGAGAGAGAGAGAGAGAGAGAGAGAGAGGTGTGATTCCCTCTTCCCATCCGCACTCATTCTCACTCTACTCGTCGCCTCCGTGATCTTCTCCAGCAGTGCTCGCGTGCTCCGTTACCAAGACAATCACGGATCACGAGGCTCGTCGTTCCATCCCCGCGTCTCCCGTTACTGGAGTCTCGGGAATGTCGAATCCCAGGAAAGACTTTGACGTGAAACAGATCCTGCGCATCCGCTGGCGATGGTTCGGCCACCCAACATCCCCACCTTCCCCCGGTAACCAGCCTTCGGGAGATCTCTTCAGCAACAGCGGTGGTAGCGGCAACAGCAGCCGGGGGAACGGAGGCGCCTCATCCGGCGGTGATCAGCCCTCCCTCGGCGGCTGCAGTAGCTCCAACGCCGCCGCCGGTGCCAGCTCGAGTAACGGCAACTTATCCTCCAACATTAACAACAGTCGAAAGTTTGGAGATTCGGGTCCAAACAGCGGACACTCAGCGGCGGCGGTGGTGATCAGTGGCACCGCGTGTCCTCGGTCTATGAGCCAGCAGGAGTGCCGGAGCTCCCCGCCGGCGCCTTGGGTCTTCCCGGTTCACTCGCGCTCCAGTGAGAGCCTGGAGCCGCTCCAGCAGCAGCCGCAGCAACCGCAGCAGCAGCCGCAAAAGCAGCAGTCCACGCGGGCACCAGACGCCTCTGGCCCTGGAGACGAGGAGAACAATAATAACGTGGAGTCTGACTCCAGCTCGTGCAGGTATGGAAGTGTGTTTGGTACTGGTGTGGTTCCATGTGAGCACAGCAGGGCGCTTGTACCGAACTGGTACCACTCCACAACAGATGCATTGCCAGCTGTTCTCTATTACGATAAAACTATGTTTCCACGATCCCTCCCCTTTGTTTCTTTACTCTGTATTATAAATAATGATTGTGGTACTTTTAAATACACAGACTACATTTACACAAACATAATTCATTGTAATCACAGCAATGTGATTTATTTCTTTTTTAATTATATTTTCATTCTATAGTTGCAGAATATCTGTCTTTTATCAGTTGTGCAGCTTTATTTAATGTATCATGGAGAGTTATATTTGCTGCATAATTCATAAGATTGCGTATGGTGCTCTAAAATGAGTGTTTAATTTATCAACTGGGCAGTTGACATGTTTTTTTCTTTTTGTGAGTGATTGTGACTAAGGTTTTGCAGTGTGACATTCCTTCACCTCATATACCTCATAATAAGTAAAGAACTGTATGTACATTTAATTTGTCACACAGCAGGGAAACTTACATAGAGGCAGAAATCATGATTAGAAAGGAACAGAAATGGACCACTTGGATAAAACTGCACCACACCTTTGAATTGACAAGCTCAGGTTGGCAGAGATTTTTAGCATATGTCTCATTTGAATGTGTCCTGTTGCTATTATGAAGTTGGCCTGTACTGTATGATATGTCAGATGTGGCACTGTCTCCTCGCAGCAAGGTCTCTGGGTCGAGTCCCAGCTGGGGCAGTTTGTGTTTAGCATGTTATCATGTTAATATTTACATGTTATCACGTGTTTGCGTGGGTTTCCTCCGGGTGCTCCGGTTTCCCTTATAGTCCAAAGACATGCGGTGTAGATGAATTAGATAAATTAAATTGGCCGTAGTGTATGAGTGTGTGTGTGTGAAAATGTTAGAATGTATGGGTGTTTCCCAGTACTGGATTGAGGCTGGAAGGGCATCCTTTGCATAAAACATATGCTGGAACAGTTGGCGGGTCATTCCGCTGTGGTGACCCCAGTTGAATAAGGGGACTAAGCTGAAGTAAAATTAATGAATAAATGATGGAATGTATATGTCTTTTCATATCTGTATGATTTTTTGCCCTAATATTGTTCAGTTTCTTAAACCAGTTATTTGATTCATTTCATAAAAGTGTCAGTAGCCGTTGACTTGCATTTCATGAAACAACAAGGACCACAGCCAAAAAACAAAACAAAACAAAACAAAACAAACAAAATAAAAAAGTCTTATATCTCGGAAGGCTTGGAGATGAATAATTTAATAGCAAATAGAACATTTTCATATGAGTAACTAGCCCTTTTAAAATTCGAAATATCTAAGCTGACTGGTAATCAAATCATTCATGGCTGCACTTTCCAAAATTATCATAGTTTTTTGTGCATATCTTAAAAATCATTACTCTCAACGTACAACACTTTTTGGAAAATGCAACCATCTGAGTTTTATGAATTAGAACTTCATATCATAACAAGAGCCGATCAAAATAAATTGTTCACATATTGGGCTGAATTCCAGATTTAGCTTTTTGTTCCTCGCGCAATCATTATTGTTTGCCTCCAGAGTACTAAAAATGTAATATGGGACTTAAATTAATTTAGAAACTGCTTTTGCAACCATTTTAAAACTTGACAAGATCATCAATTTTCATAATTTCATGGAAAATACATCGCTCACAGTTCCCCAGAAGACTGTAAGGCCAAATCCCAATTTTATTTTTGTACCCCTACCCTTTCCCCTTGGCTGCTGAAACAGAGTGTGAAGGTGAAGGGCTTTAAAATTTACCTCTAAGAAATAGAACAGCACTACAACACCTGCACACGTCAGCATATGGCATTGATCACGACTGCTGTAGACATTCCAGTTGCATTATTTTTTGGCATTTGTCTTCAGGAAATCACTGAAGGCATATATCATGTTATCATAACGATATAATGTGGCAAAATTCATCTATGTGAACACACGAAAACAACGTTAACATCATACCAGACTCTGTAAAAAGGTCATTCGCAGCCACTAGACATTTCTGACAGGGGATTCCAGTGTCATTGAGTGACAGAATGTTGTGGGGCTACTATACAGGAGTTATTGTTATGGAGTATAGAAATTTAAGGGGTGTTATTTTGGCATTTTTTTTTTAAGCATGACGACAAAACATGAACGCCGTTATGAGTTTATTAAAATGTGCTTGTTTGTTGTAAAAAATCGTAATATGACAAAAAATACAAATTTGTGTGAAGCCATGCTGCTGTTGTAGCTGGTGTAGTCTGGGAATTTTTCATATCCCTCATATCCTTCTCCCTTGTCCCGGGAGAGAGCGCTTAGCTCATAAGATCATCAAACCAGGATTCTTCAAAACGAAGATGGCTGTTATATGGAACTGAGGGTATGTATAGTGGCTTAGAAATCGTCTGATTTCGAATCATAAATTGAAAAATGCAGGGCCGGCTGCAAGCAATCATAAGCACGTGATCCTCTCAAAATTAGTTTATAAATAAACTTCACTTAAAAAAATATGCTGCGAACATTTAACAAACAGTCCTGTCTTGGAATCGGGGAAAAAATAAACAGGGGGCTAATAATTCAGGGGGGCTAGTAATTCTGTCTTCAACTGTGTATTATATACACTTTAATCTTCATTTAAATCGTTAGATAGATTGTTGTTAGAGAATTATTTTAGAACATCAAAGCTATACTAGGTCATTTATGAATAAAAATATAATGCAAAGGAATTTATCATGAGAAAAATGATGACGCAAAAATGTGTTACAGCATTAATAGCTTTTATCTAAAATATACACAATACTCTGAAAACAAATAAACAAATGATATCAGCTGCATGATTGTTGCTGTTTGAAGAAAACGAAGCAGCTTTAGCACAATGCCAAAAAAAAATATTGTCATATGTAGTGAGGTGCTCTCACAAGAGAGCATGAAACCTTCTAAATTAAAATGACATTTAGAAACCAAACATCCCATTTGCAAGGACAAACCTGCAGACTGTTTTCAAAGACGACTCCAATAGCTGAGGGCATCACAAGAGTGGCTAACATCTTCATTTTCAAAACAAGTACAGGCATTCTGCGCATCTTACTGTGCTCACCTTGTAGCAAAGCCCAAGAAAGCCCACACAATAGCAGAAGAGCTTTAATTTGCTTGTTTGTTCTGTTAACCAGGATCAGTGTTAATGTTTTATTAACAGTTTAGTTAATGTTAACTGAACTTTTTTTTTTTTTACCTTAACCACTGTTTAAAGTATTTGTCGCTTTTACTTTGTAATATTTCTATAATTTCATATATTTCGTTAAATGACAGCAAAAAAAAATTGTTTATTTGTAAGTCTTGGTGATTTTCTTAGGATTTATCTCAGTACTTGTGAATGTTAACAAATAAATACAAATTAATTATAATTCCTAAAACTATATTATAGTTCCAAAAATTTTGGGTCACGGCTTGATGACCATGTAAAAATGTGGGTCCCATGGCCAAACCAGTTGAGAACCACTCTTTTAAAATATATGCATGAAAATGACAGCTCTTGTTCTTAACAGCTTTCCTAAAGTTCTTAAAGCTTAAAGCCAGTTATTAAAGTTTTGTGTCCAGGTATGATACACATAACAACTTTTTGAGCAGTGTTGTTGTACAATATTGCAGTGATGTTGCTTAGCTAATTTGCTGCTAAAAATTCAAAACACAAAATTTTACAAACAAATGAGAAAGTTATTTTGTATACATGATGTGCAGTGTAGTTACTGTGAAACTAAAACAGGTATAGTGTAGTAATAAATACTTTTTACTTAAGTGCATATTTCAGGCCGTACTTTTCCTTGAGTACAAAAGTGTAGTCAGTACTTTTGCCAGAATCCTTTTAAACATGAGTACGTATACTTCTACTTGAGTAAAGGATGTGTGTACTTTTGCCATCGTTTGCCATACATCTCAAAACAGCATTTTTGCTGAACTATCAGTGTGTGACAGAGCATTTTTTATATATTAACGATCCTTTTGTTGCATCACGATGACATGAAAACTTGTTATCTCACATCTGATGCTTTACTGTAGCTCCCTCACTCGTAGTGGAGCGATTATGATGTAACGTCCACCAAACGCTCTCATCTTCAGCGAGGAAGTGATGTGTACATAAATTGTGCATAATTTCCCTTCACAGATCTTTAGCGTGATGAACAGCTGTGAAATTGTAATGCGATAACGTGAAGGATAAAAACACAAAACAGACTTTAGAGCTAGTGCACTGTAGTGCATCATGGGATTGCGAAAAAAGAGACTGGGTGTTTGTGTAAGACCCACGGCTTTGACAACTCATTCTGTGACAGACTCTTAGTAATGACCTACACTATTAATATGTGCCAGCAGCATTGTTCCTTTTTTGACTGTTCTGTGAGCTTTATTCTCTGTGTGAGTGCTTGTGTTTACTAGACTTTTTTATATATGAGAGAGAAAGAAAGAAAGAAAGAAAGAGAGAGTGAAGGATGCGGTGCAGCTCTGAAAGGCACTTAGTCACTCATCACCTTGGAGACGATAGATTAAACCTATTGCTTCTGCTCCTCACAGTTTATACCAGGAAAAGAGATAACTGTACAAACAGGAGATAACCACACAAATATAAGAGACTAATTCTGAAGACCATTAGAGCTGTCTTTTGATATTGACCTCAAATGACTGCTATGAAACACATAATTTGGTTTTCCGTCCTTTAAATGCTCTTGAAAATGGCCAACGTTGTTCACAATATGCAAATGTTTTCAACCTCCAGCTCTTTGTTATTTTAAATGCAAGGATTGTTGTAGTTGAAGCATAAATACCTAGTGACTGTTTGAGGATTCAAGTGTGACGCTGTAAGTCTAAAGGCCCTGGGGCTGTTTATGACTTACAAGAAATCCAGAGAGTGATTGAGGGAGAGAGAGAGGAAGATGAAGAAAAGCGTCTAGCCGACTGAAAACTGCAATT